CCAAGCATTTGCTTTCGAGTGCCTTAGGCTGGTTCCTGCCGTTATCTTCTTGCAGGAGGGAGAGAGCTGCTGTTCCTTGCTTCGGGAGAGGGACCCGAGGCAGTTACTGAGGAGTGATACACTTGGAGAAGTGTCTTTGTGGTCTCTCTGAGCAGAAAATTTGTTGCTGTTTCTCTTTCTTTCCAGATAACAGCGTCAAAACGTGATCAGGTTGGGTTAGTTTGGGCGTGTCTCTGCCTGCGGCCAGACCCCGCACCCTTCTAGGGAAAAGTGACTCCTTCTCCTGGTGTGATGGGCTAGAACCTGCCATTGGGAGGTCTGAAATATGGGTTTCAGGCTGGGAGTTTCGGGAAATAAGTTCTGCTTCATTTTGGGCAGTTCAGAAGGGTTTTTCTGGAAGAGGCTTCAATCCTGCGGGAAGAGTGGTTGGCAAGACAGCGTCAGCTGGTGTGAGATGAAGGCTATTCTCGCCCAAATAACTTATTTTTTCCTTGCTGTTGGAAGGATGCCAGCCCATCCTTCGCTCCTCTGAGGCGCAGCTTATCCTGCCGCAGGCATCATCTCTGACCAGGTTTGCCCAGGAGGGTGTGGGGAGCCCGGGACAGCAGCGAGTCCTCCCTGCCTGGATCACACAAGTGCCATCCCAGATGGATGCGCTGCTCGGCACAGGGAAGCTGGTGCATTCTAATTGCTGGCATCTTTACTTGTTACGAGTGTAATTGTGAGAAGACGTTTGTTTTTGTATTGATAATTAGGGACTGGAACAGATGGCGAAGGCTTAGTTTAAAGTAATGTGTCCATTAAAGAAAATCTACTGTATACAGCTGAAGATTCTTCACTCCAAGAGAGCTCAGCTCTCAGTAGCAGAGCTCCTCTATTCCTAATGAGGGGTTGGGCTGTCACAGCCTGGCCAGCGCAGCCTCTGATCCCAGAGACTTCTCACAGTGAATGTGCTGAGCTCCCTCCTGACAACCGAGCATCCCCATGTACCTGCTGTGCCCACGTGCAGGTGGGCAGGTGTGGAGGGAAATGCTGGAGGAGCGTGCCTGGGGCAGAGGAGGGGGTGGCAGTGTCTTGGGCACTGAGCCTGACATGGTGGGACTTCTTGATCCAGCTGACAGGTGACATGGTTCACTCGATGTGGTCTGCGATGCTGTGCTGGATGTCAGAGGCACAGGGGAAAGGATGTTCCCCTGGGGGTTTAATTAATACCCTGTGCCAATTAACGAGGACTGGTCCTCGCAGAAGGGCAAGGCAGTGGGAGGGGAGGTGCAGTGTGTCCATGTGGCTTCTCTACTCATTAGGGCTGCTCAGGCACTGATCTGCACTAATCCTCTCGTTAGCATCGTTCCCTGCCTGTCCTCCTTGCCCAATCCCAAGTGATGGATAGGTTTGGGGGTTGATCCTGTGTCCCCTGACCTCTTGGGATATTTTACAGATGTGGGTGCTGGGATCTCTTTCTTGTTCCCCATTTCTCTGTGAGGATTTGGGATCTGTGAGCCCTTTCCTGTTGAAAGAGGGTGCTCAGCAGCCATAGCCCCAAGCAGCCTGGCCATAAATGCTCCACCAAGGTCACAGGGTCACTTTTTCATCCCAGAAAATGAAGTAAAACCAAGATTTCCTCCAAGAGGAAATAGGAGAGGTCAATAGGAAGTTGCTGAGCCATGTCCTTCTGATGCCATTGCCTCTGCAGTCACAGGGTTGGGTGAACTCAGCAGGAATTTGAACTCAAAGCGGGGATTTAACCATCTTATTGTATTTAACAAAAAACTCCCAAATTAACCATTTTGCCAGTTTATGTATCTTCTTGTCTATGGCAGTGCCCTTGGGAGATAGGACAGGATCTGTACAGGAGATGGTCTCTAGGGGGTCAAGATCTCAGCCTTCTTTTTCCTTTGCTTTGCAAATTACTTTGGAAACATGGAGCCATGGAAGTGCAAGTGTTGTTCACAAATATGGGATCCAGTATGCATCAAGCCAATAATTACACACTTGAGAGAGACATTGATTGTTTATTTCAGAGTTGCCCAAGCCTGGGTTCTTGGTGGTGTTCAAGCACCCCAGCTACCAAAGCTTTTTACTGTTTATACATTTTAGCAATCAAAAGAATTAGCATTTATTGACTACAATCTTGTCTCATCAATTAATATTCTATCTTCTGTTTGTTAATGACTATCTTATTTCTCATGCTAATTAGAGCTAATTAGCTCGGTCTTCCTCTTCTTTTGGGTCAGTGTTTCTTGGGTCAGTGGTCTGTGAGTCTCTGGTCATGATCCGCCCCTGCTAAAATTACCTTTTACCCATCAGAGCTGATTTCAGCACAATTGCTGGGTTGGATTTATTACTTTCTTCCTTGGCTTGGGGATTCTGCTAAATGTCCTTGTGGCCTCTAAGCTCTGCATTCTGTGTGCCCACTCTCAGTGCCACATCACACACATCCTTCTTCCCAAGCATTATCAACCTCCTTTAGGACTGAGATCATTGAAACATGTGGAGTCCTAAGCCTTAACGAGGCAGTTCATCACTGGACATCACTTAAAGCTTGTGAGCTTCACAGATTAAATCTCCTTTCTTGTTGATCAGCCTTGAAAGTTACAAAGATCAAACATTAATGAGCATCCTTTCTTAAGAAAATTTTACATATTCCACATTTTACATCACAAGTTCTGCATCTGTGGTGGAAACTTCTTGAATGTGATCTCCTTGGCCACAGGATTACCTAGGGACTCCAGAAACATCCAAAGTGAAAGCTTCTCTGTGGTTCCTTTCCGTTTATTCATTTATTGTTAATTAATTTTTCTATTTACTTAGCTATTTTGAGGTCTTCTTCAGCATTGCTGCTATGCCTTCCTGCTTTCCTTCCAGAATGTGGAGCCTTTAGGGAGGAACTCAAGAGGAGGGAAGGGGTGAGACTTTGGAAGGGGTCCTGGTGAGTGTCGTCTCGGAGCAGAGCTGGTCCTCGCGTGCTGCCGTCCCACAGGGCGGCTGTGCTTTATCAAAAGTACATTCCTCTGTCAAAGGGAAGGAAGCTGTAAGTGTGTGCAACAGGAAGGGAGATGATGGAGTGAAAAGCCTTTCTGAATAAACCTTTGGAAGAAGTGCCTTTCCTGTAATGGAGCCTGTCCTTATTTATCACAGAGGGTGGATGAGTCAGCTTGGGTCCCAGCCTGGCCATGGTCCCCGTGTCTCCCTGTTCGCCACTGCCTCAGTTTCCCCTGCATGGCACAGGGACACCCTGTTTGCTTTGGAGGAGAGCACCAAGTGTTTCAGGGCCTCTCAGAGTATCCCTGACAGTGCAGCCCACTGACAGGGGGCACTGGGAGATGTTTGCATGGCCTGTCACTTGCACCTCTACACCCATTTATGCCTGTACACATCTTCCTGCTCATTTGAAGGGCTGTTGCAAGGATTAATGGCTGTTTAATTAGGGGCTGGGCTGTTTGGAAGGGAAGGAAGGCATGGAGGTGGTGGGAAGGTGAAGGGTGGTGAGAGTAGAAACTTGCTGGAGGTCTGGAGCACAAGCCCCTGGCCCCATTTTGACAAGGGCCTGGAGTGACAGGACCAGGGGGAATGGCTTCCCAATGCCAGAGGGCAGGGTTAGATGGGATGTTGGGAAGAAATCCTTCCCTGTGAGGGTGGTGAGGCCCTGGCACAGCTTTCCAGAGAAGCTGTGGCTGCCCTTGGATCCCTGGAAGTGTCCAAGGCCAGATTGGATGGCACTTAGAGCAACCTGGGATAGTGGAAGGTGTCCTTGCCCCTGGCAGCAGGTGGAACTGGATTTAAGGTCCTTTCCAACCCAAAATGTTCCTTGATTCCATGATTCAAGACTGGAGAGTAATTGCAGCTGGGATACTTAATTTTTTTCTGCCAAATGGAAAATGACTGAAAACTACGAAGTGATGTGTGACAGTGTGAAAATCACCACACTCTGCTGTTTCCCACGGGGAACAGGAGTGAAACATCTCCTCTCTGAGGGCACTGTGAGCAGAAACAGCTGGCACCTTGCAAAGCAGGGGGCTGTGGCCTTTGAGCACCCCTGGCAGTGCCACCGCAGCAGCCTGGGGCCTGTTTGGGGTGCAGAAGCTTTGCCAGCTCCCATCTCCTTTTCACTCCATGCCTTGGGAGTGCTTTGCTCTCCCTGCCCCAGGGCCCTGGGAGGGATTTCAGGAGCGGCTATCGCTGGTGTCAGGGTGGGGAGTTCCTGGTCCCGCTTGTCCAGCTTCGCATCCTGGAGCGGCTGGCAAAGGGAGGGGTTGGAAGATTAATCGGAGTCTTGTTTCCCGCCTCTGATTGCTGGAGTAGCCGTGGACAGATTAAAAGCAGCAGCCTGGTAGCAGCACAGATTCCTGCGCTGATTTTTATTTACTGACCTTTATTTCTCTGGTTGCACCCCTTTTCCTGGCACTGCTGTGAGTACCTGGGACCATGCAGGAAAGGGGAGGGATTGGGGATGCTCAGCTCTGCCAGTTGCCAGCGGCACATCTCCTCCTGTTTGGTCAGGATGCAGGAATTGAGGCAATTAATCTGCATGTCTGCTTGCTGCAAACAAATAAATAAAACCTGGAGGGTTTTCCCCATCTGTTTCTTTATGGTGTTGCTCTCGCTATTATTCTTGCTATATTTTGTTGGTTCTTTTTTTTTATGTCTAAAAGTAGGGAATGATGTGACTCTGTGAAATATAGCATCATTTGATTTTTAATTTTTCTTTTTTTGTGCTGGTGATAGTATTTTCTTTTCCTGGGCAGGGAAGGGTCAGGGCTGGCAGTGTGAGCTGGGTTCAGGCCATGACTCCTTGCAAAGAGTCTTGTCCCCCACTGTTTGCTCCAGAGCAAAACTGCCTTGAGTCTGTTGGGGCAGCTGTTGTTGATTCCTGAGTTCTCCAAGGGTCAGGTGCATGCCCTGGGAGAGCAGCTGAGTGTTTTCCCATGTCTCTGTGCTCAGAAACTAATGGAAAACTTAGGGAATAACTAGTTTACTTTCCTTTTCTTCTGTTTCCTCAGAAACTTTGATGGATACGCGGACGGCGACGGCCGAGCTGGGCTGGACCGCCAACCCACCTTCAGGGGTAAGTTCCACTTGTCCAGCTGACCTTTTTGTGATCATGGGGGGTCCATGCCTTTAACCCCACTATTTATAGGGGTAAAATGCTCTTGGGAAGCCAGAGGAGTCACAGTGGGAACAGCAGTGCCCCATAGGGCTAGTGTGGGGTGCCAGGGCATTGCTGTCTGGCTGAGCCAGGCTGAGCATCCTTCCCTGAGCCAAGCCTGGCACCTTAGTGAAGATGGAGCATGTCTCCATCTCCATGCTCTTTCTTCCCCTTCCTGTCCTCCTTCCTCATGAAGGGTTCAGCCCCATCACTGCTCTCCATCCCCCTGCTCGTGCCTTCCCTCTCCCTGTGCCAAAAGGCTTGTAATTAGGAAACATTAGCAGGCTCCAAACAGCTTTCATACCTGGAACATCATCCATAATTGCACTCGGCAGTGCTCTTCCTTGGCTATTAATGTCACTTTTATGAAGTAATGAGGAACCAAACACCCTGAGGCACTTAAAACATCTTTTTTATATAATATGAGCCTTTGAGGAATGGAAGCATAAAATAACCTGACTCACATTCTCCTGGCAGAAAAAGTGAGAGATGGAGCTGCGGGTGGGAGGGGATGTGAGCTGATAGATGGGCACCACAGTGGGACAAGCAGGTTGGGAGCAGCAGCAGGGCCTCTCCCTGGTGACTCCAGGATGTGGCACCAGAGGGGAAAGGATGCCAGGCTGCATCTTTGGGTGTCACTGGCTTGGCCAAGTCTTTGAAAGAAATTATTTTGCACACCATCACCAAAGCTGAGCCACACCTGCAGCAGACATGAAATCCACTCCAGACATGTCAGAGCCCCTTGAATTGGGGTATTTTGCTACTGAATGGCTTTGGAAAAATTCTGGGCCCAGATAAATTGCTGGAAAAATGCAGGAGGGGCATGTGCAGGTGATGGAGACAGGATATAAATAGCTGCCTGCAGCTGCTGTCACTGAAAGCCTGTGTGAGGCAGGCAGGGAGCTTGTGTTGTAAGGCATGGTGGTCTTAAACTCTGCAGAGCAGCAGAGTAAAGCCTCTCCCCAGACCTATCCCTGCATCCCACTGTGTGCATCTCTCCATCCCTCTGTGCCTCCCTGCAGCCATCCAATTCTCACTCCTCTGAGAGCTCCTGGGGAGGCTTCTACTTTACAGGAGCATGTATTATTAAATCTCTCACAAAGTATTTAAAATGCCAAGTCTTTTATCTAAAATCATAGGATCACAGAATCCTTTAGGTTGGAAAAACCCTCTCACACCATCAAGTCCAACCATTAACCCAGCACTGCCAAGGCCACCACTGACCCATATTCCCAAGTGCCACAAAAGCTCTATGGACAGCTTTTATGGCCCTCCAGAAATGGGGACTCCACCACTGCCCTGGGCAGCTGTGACAGTGCTGGACAACCCTTTCTGGGAAGGAATTTTCCCTAATATCCAATCTCAACCTCCCCTGGCACAGCTTGAGGCCATTTCTACTTGTCCTGTTCCCTGGGAGCAGAGCCTGACTTCCCCCTGTCTGGCCCCTCCTGTCGGGGAGTTGTGCAGAGCCAGAAGGTCCCCCCTGAGCCTCCTTTTCTCCAGGCTGAGCCCCTTTCCCAGCTCCCTCAGCCTCTCCTGGTGCTCCAGCCCCTTCCCCAGCGTCATTCCCTTCCCTGGACACACTCCAGCCCCTCAATTTCCTTCTTGTCATGAGGGGCCCAGAACTGGATGCAGGATTGGAGGTGCCCCAGCAGTGCCCAGCACAGGGGATGGTCACTGCCCTGGTCCTGCTGGTCACGCTATTCCCGAGAGGATGAGAGGCTCCTGGCGGCTGCTGGGTGTCAGCTCCTTCTCTGAGGCTGCTCTCATCTCTCTTGGGGCTGGAGGCACAGGGATTTGATGACCCACCTCTCCTGTCCCTGGATTGCCATTGGCATGGGCTCTGTGCAGGCTTTGGGTCCCTTTGGGTGGTTGCTTCTCCCCATGGCATGCTGAGCTCCCAGAGGGGCTGTTGACCCCAGCTCACAGACCTGGCCCAGGCTCGGAGAGGGGGCTGTTGATGTTCATGCTGGGGCCTGATGCCAGCCAGGCTGCAGGGGCTGTGGTCTCCCAGGATGGGCTGTGGCAGGATGTGGGCTCTCCTCCTTCTCTTCCTGATGGATGTGCCTTAAATCTTGGTGGAGACAGAGAACAACATTGACATAATCCCCAGCTCCCTGTGAATTATTTAGTAGTATCTCATCGAAATGATGTATTTGTCACTGTTAAAACATTGGTGGCAGCAGCTGCTGGCACTGTGGGTCCTTCCAGCCACAGGGACCTGCTGCTCCCTGGAGTACTCAACCCAAGGGATGCACAAGGCAGTGCCAGGGTCTGGCCCTTGGAAAATGCATTTCACGCTGTTCCTAAATGCAGGAAAACTTGAAGTGAGGCAGTGGTTGTTGGCAGGTTTTGGTTCTGAGTTTTGAGGCTCTGAGGTTTTTGAGGACGAAGAGGAGGATTCCTGCCATGAAGACGGAGGTGCCATGGGGCTGGTGTTAAAGCTGGAGGAGAGCTTGTTGTTTGGCCTTAATTGGAGGCTGGGCTGTAATGCAAAGCCCAGGTGGGAACAGCAAACAATTGCAACCCCCTTGGTTGGGGAGAATTGTACACCTCCTGCTCTGAAAAGGTGTCTGGTAATGAAGGGGCACTGAATCCCCACTCCTTGTGCACAGGGGAGGGGGGATTTTGCAGCGCTTTCCTGGCATGGGATGAGAAGGAAGAGCACTGGGCTGGATGGGGGAGGCTTTTATGCTGGTTTGGTAACCATGGCTAAACAACAATGCACAACCTTGGGTTCTGATCTTGGCTTAAGTGTAGCAGAGCTGAGTAGGTGGGCCTGGGAATGAATGTTCTGCTGCACTTGTTGGCAGCCTGAGGAGGACCCTGCTTTGAAAACAAAGCAAAAACCTGTGTTCTGTTACATCAAGGCTGTTCTTCACAGGAGGAAAGCTTGGGGATGAGTTGAGAAATGTGGTTGTTCAATGGAAAAGGGAAGAGGGGAAAAATCTGTGAGGTTTCAGGGTTGGCTGTGGTGCATCAGCTTGTCAGGACTCAGTGTGACAAGGCAGGGTGGCATCACCCGTTGTGCCCTGTGTAAACACAGGCGTGAACGCTGCTGCAGCATCGCTCCTGGAAATTATCCCTGATACTGAGGGAGCTGCTTAAAGATTGCCATATGAATAATGCTGTTATGAGGAGACTGTAAACATGGATTAGTTAAAATGAATGGATTATGAGGTTGTAAATCTGTCTGTAGGACTCTAATGCCATCATAGACTATTCACAGTTTGCCGCTGTCCCTTAATTGAAATTGTAGCCTGGATTATATTAATGCCCTTCTATAAATCGAATTGCGAATCTATATTCCCTCTCTCCACAGCAGTAATGTTTTATTTAGTTGGTTTTCTTTGCCGGGGGAAATGATCCCGTTGTGCCAGGAGCTCGGGGTCAGGCTTGCTCTCCAGCCCACGTACTGGCTCGGGCTTTAATGAAGCTGTAGCCTCATGTGCTGCCTTTCCTCCTGCCTCCAGATGCCGGGGCCATCTTTCTTCCCATTTTTACATCCTCTCAGTGTAGATAAGGGAGTTGTCCACATGAAAAGACATTTTAACATCAATTGGGAGAAATGGGGAGAGGCATGGAGGGGTAAGAGGGTGGGGATTTCTTGTGGTCCTAGTCTGGTTGGTGTTCCTGCATATGCATCACATTGCGTGCCCATAACCACATTCCTCGTCCCCTTTGGAGCTTTGGGATTGTCCTTCCAGCCCTGGCCTGTGCAGGCTGAGCGGCCATGGCAGTTCCCTCTTCCTCCTTCTCACCACTTCTCCCTGCTCCTTTCTGCAGTGGGAAGAAGTCAGTGGCTACGACGAGAACCTCAACACCATCCGTACGTACCAGGTGTGCAACGTCTTCGAGCCCAACCAGAACAACTGGCTCCTCACCACCTTCATCAACCGGCGCGGGGCTCACCGCATCTACACCGAGATGCGCTTCACTGTGCGGGACTGCAGCAGCCTCCCCAACGTCCCTGGCTCCTGCAAGGAGACCTTCAACCTCTATTACTACGAGACAGACTCTGTCATTGCCACCAAGAAGTCTGCCTTCTGGACGGAGGCGCCCTACCTCAAAGTGGACACCATTGCTGCTGACGAGAGCTTCTCCCAGGTGGACTTTGGGGGCCGGCTGATGAAGGTGAACACGGAAGTGAGAAGTTTCGGGCCCCTGACCCGCAATGGCTTTTACCTGGCTTTCCAGGACTATGGGGCTTGCATGTCTCTGCTGTCTGTCAGGGTCTTCTTCAAGAAGTGCCCCAGCGTGGTGCAGAACTTCGCCATCTTCCCAGAGACGATGACAGGTGCCGAGAGCACCTCTCTGGTGACGGCACGTGGCACCTGCATCCCCAATGCCGAGGAGGTGGACGTCCCCATCAAGCTGTACTGCAATGGCGACGGCGAGTGGATGGTGCCCATCGGCCGCTGCACCTGCAAGGCTGGCTATGAGCCCGAGAACAACGTGGCTTGCAAAGGTAAGGTTGGCTTTGGACAACAAGCCCTTTGTGTTTGTTTTAGTGCAAATCGTTTGTCCCCAAACAAACTGTTTTGTGCAGTGGGCAGTACTTCCCCTGATGTGATTTTGCCCCAGGGAGCAGGTAGAAATTTGGGAGCAGCGGTCACTGTGGTTTCTCAATGTGCTCTGGTCAGTGGCCAGACCTGGTGAGCAGTGTGGTGATGGCGCAGGTGGTGGTGCTGGTGCTGTTGCCACCCTGCTGGAAGTCATCTCTGTGATGTGGTGCCTTCAAAGTGCTGCGCTCGCTGGACAGACTCTTTCATCTGCCTCGTTATTTCCATGGCAGAGCCAGGCAGCTGCCATGAGGCCCGGCTGCCGTGGGGCTGCTCTGATTCTCGGTGTTAATTGGAATTGTTCTGCTGGTTTTTGGGTTCCCCAGCCATGCTGTCAGCATGCTGCTGCCTGCTGGAGTCCTGCAGTGTGAGGTTATAAATATGGAAACAGTGCTCACTGCTTTTCACCTCCTTTTACCCTTGTGGTGAATATTTCTCAAATACCATTGGAATGTTGGTCTTTTTTTTCTGTTGGCCGCCCTTTCCTTCTCTCCCAAATTAAGGTATTGGTTTTGCACACTGCTTGGAAGGAGGTGAGAGGGCTTTGTGCCCACCCTATTTTATTAGTTCCAAATAGCTTCAAGAAGGTCAACAGCACCAGGACAAGGAAGGGTTGGGAAGAAGGAGAAGGTCAAAGTGCTTAAGGGCTGCTTTGGCATGTCGTGATGGGAAGAGGTCCAACTTGGATCTCTTTTGGTGCAGATGGGGGAATGTGTGTACCACCAGGCTTGGCTGTGATGCTCCCTGGGGAGTCCCTCAAGGTGTTTCTTCTCCACCTGTAACACACTGGATATGTGAAAATAGCAAATCTGGGATTCAGGCTGTGGAGAAGCTTGTTTGATGGTTTGCTCTAAACCTGGGAACTTGTGTAGGTTTTCACCACGCAAAGCCTCATTCCTACCTGGCCAAGGTGGGGGTGGTGACAGCTTCCTGTGCCAGGGCTCCAGCAATCAGGAAGCCCCCAGAATCCTTTCTCAAACAGCATGGCTGAGGGATTTCTGTGAGTTTTGTGGCTGAGCCTTCGTGTGGTTTTGTTCCCACCAGGAGATTCCTGTGAGGAGCCGAAGCGCTCAGTTGGAGGGAGGGCTCCCTGCAAACCAAGCGTTTCTGGTGGGGCGTTCCTCTGCTGTTGAACAAACACACAGAAAGCACACGTGGTTATGTGGCAAAATGACATTTATCATCATGGCAAAACAAATACTAATTTTAGCTAAACACTGGTATTGGGAAGTAATGTCACTGCCAGAAATGGAGGAAAACAGTGACAGTGTAAAACCGTGGATTTTGGTGGTGTTGACCTTTCTGTCAGCTGGAGGAAGGTGGGGTCTTGAGTGCTCTTGACCCCTGGGAAGACTGTGATGCACCTTCTCATGGGAAGGGGAGAGGATTGACAACAGCAGGACGAGAAGCATGGGAGCAAATCTGCTGAGGGTGGGTGTCAGACCCATCTCCATGGCTTTTCTTGTTTCCTTTTCTTGTGCAAACTCCACAAGGATTGTGAAGTGTTCGTGCCGTCCAAGCTACACCAGGCAGACCCCACTTGGGGTCTTGGGGATTTGCTGGGTTTTCTGTGCCCTGGTGCCTGTGTCTAGCTGTGTTCCTGCTCCTCAGCACTGATCCCTGAGGAGAAACTGCTGAGCTCCTGGTGAGTGTTTTGCCTTTGCATGGGAGTGTGCTTTGTATTCAGACTCCTTGAGGCAAAGATTAGGGATCCTGGCAGCTCCAAGGAGTAGAAATATCCTTTATAGATTGACTGGCAGTATGTATGATCCTGAAAGGCACCAGAGTACACTGTGGGTGCAGGGAAAGTGGGTGTTAAATGGTGCCAGGCTTGTCTGTGATGACAGGAATTTGCTGTTTGATGATTCCATGGGTGCTGCTAAGACGTTGTCTGTGGAGGAGAGCTCTGATGTCTGCCCTTTGCCAGTCCTGTTGAGTATTTTCCAGTTCCTGTGTTAGGAGGACAGAGAAAAGGCTGGGATTGCATGAGACCTGTGTGTCTGAAGGCCCTGCTCAGTGCTGCTGAGGAACCCAAATCCAATCTATCCCCCATCCCTTTGAAGTTCACTAAAACCCCTCCAAAAAGCTTGATCTGGGGTTAACATCAGGAATTTTGGAAAATTACCTTTGTTTGAATAAAAATCTGACCTTGGGTTGGACTCTGGCTCTGTGGTAGTTCATTGGCCATCAAGCTCCTTCTCGTATCCCCATGGACCTTGGAGCTGGCCAGGGAAGACCTAAGCCCACTGCTGCCCTTCATGAAGGTTGTTGGGCAGGAGGTGGAACATTGCAAAGTTTAGAAATAAATATTCCTTGATTTTCTATATGACTTTGTTTTCTCTGAAAGGTTGTATTCCTCTGCCTGGTTTGCCTGGCAGGGAAGGTGCTGGGATTGCACCCTGGCTGCTGGGAAGCACACACTCCTGACATCTGCTCCAAGCCTTCATCAGCCTGAGATGAGACACTTAACAAGCCTGTGGGAATTGTCACCAAGGAAAAAAAACCAAAAAAAGAAAATCCCTCAGTATTTGAAAGCTCAAAAAATAGGCTTAATTCCTGCGTGGTGGGGAAAAAGATAGGTTTGGATTGTTTAGCTCCCCCAGCTCCGTCTCATCCTCGCTCCCCTGGGAAGGAGGCTGTGCCTGTCAGGGGGCCATTAGACCAGAGTGGGTTCCTGCTGACAGTGGAGCTCGGACCACTCAGGGATTCATTAACCCCGGCTTTTAGCGGCACTTATGGCTCGAGGGACACACAGGCACAACGTCGTCTTCATTGGGGTACTCAGAGCCCTGAGGAGATTATCCTCGTGTTTTGGGGGTCATCAGAAGGATGGGGGCTGCTACCACTGCCGTGCCAGGATGGGCGTGGGAGGGAGGGGAATTGTCTTTGTGGATCAGCCACAAAGTGGATTATTTGTTCCCATCCCAGGCTGCTTTGGCACCGACTCCCTGGCGCAGCTCTCAGCCCAGTGGGCTGCCCAGCCCGTCCTCTTGGACACCCCATGCCCGTGGGGGCGGTGGGTCAGTGTGAGATGGAGGCTCTGCCTGAATCCCAAATGAATAATTCACTCGGTGTGCGAGAGAGCCCACGCTCTCCTCGGGCTGATATTAAATCCATTCGTCTTGCTCTGCCCTGTCCCTCAGCCCTGCTTTACGGCTTCCTGGTGTGGTCAAGGGGCAATGCATCATCGTGCTGGGGAGGAGGTGGGAGGGAAGGTGGCAGCAGGGATCACTGGGAGGGGGGGAAACCTTGGATGAGCGTGCTGGGTGGATTTCGCTTTTTCTCCTCAAGGAAGATTGTTAAACCCTTTCTCTCCTGGTGTTTGAAACCTGATGATGGCAAAGGAACCCCTCACTAGAATGTTGGCAGTTGTGTCTCTTGGCTTTTATCCCTATTGACTTTGAGGACTGGGCACTGCATTTCTGCCTGCTGGAATTGTGCTGGCTTTCTCTCTGACCTTCCCAGGGCCGGGCACTAACTCGGGTGCACAGAGAAGGAAAAAGTCTGGGACTGAACTCACTTTGTGCTGAATTTGTGTTGTATTTATAAACCCAGGAAGAAGGGGTGAGAGAGCAGTCCTGCTGCTTCCCGGCCTTGTCTCACTTTCAGTTTTCCCCTCCTGGCAAATTCCTGTGCTGGCGCGTTCGGGAGCCTCCAATCTGCTGCTGCCGGCCTGTCTGCTACAGCCGCTGGAAATCTGACCTGGCAGGGGGGAAAAATCAAAATAAACCCCACAAAACAAGAGCAAAGCTGGGCTGTGTTGCCTGCAATACAAAGGCTCCTCATCAAGCAGCCTTGCTTCCAGGCATCCCTGGCTTTCCACACAGCAGCCGCTCCTCCATCCCATCTCCAGCCCGGTCCCCCCATCCTTCCTCACCTGCTGACCGATCTGCTGGGCTCTGCCCAGCCTTTGCCAAAGCTCTGTGTGGGTTTATCCTGATCTCCTTCATCCCTTTGATTTCTCTGTCTCCTTTCTGTGTTTGTCCTTCTCTTCTGCCTTTTGTGTGGAGGAATGGATTGGGGAAAGGAGCAGTGGGAGTGGCACGTCCGACCTTGAATGTTGAGGAGTGAGCAGCTCCATGCTGGTTCCCCTTTTATCCGCCGCCCCTGCTGAGCAGCCCTGGTGATAATTATTGATTTCCTCTACTTATCCATCACAGAAGATTGGAAACAATGTGATTTATAAAGTGATTTTTTAAATAATTGCGAACATTTTGCAATTAGTAGTAGAACAATTTGCTATCACTGAGAAAAAGGGAATTGTCAGGTTTTCCCAATTAAATTGTTGCTTGTGTTGAGAAACGGGAATTTTTGGTCTCTGGCTGTGCCCTTGCCTGCCTTTTCCCTGCTCCATGGTCCAGCCTGTGCTCCTGCACCATTTTGGGGCACTCAGGAGAGGTTTTCTTGGGTGATACTGGTTTTGTCCCATGGTTGAATGGCAGCAAGGGAGGTCATGGTAACACAGGACTCTGCTCCCTGTGCCTTTAGCTGTATCTATCCCATCCCAGTGTTCTGCAGCTCCATGCCCAGCTGCCTGGATGCTTGGGGCAGGGTGAGCACACCAGGGATTGGCAGGGGCTTCAGAAAAGCCTTTTTTTTTTTTTAGCTTTTAAGGATGACTTAATTTTTTATTTTAATCCAATCTGCTGGTCCATACAGTTTCCCATGATGGAAAATCATCATCTTTCCAGCCTCTGTGCTGACCTCTCCTCCCCACCACTGCAGCATCTCATTCCAGCATACCTTGCCTATAAGTGATTTTTTTTTTTTTGAGATTTTATCCTCTAAGACAGGAGGGGAAGAACAAAGAGGTAAAAAGAACGTGCTTGCCCTGCCCTTCTCTCCTTCCACCTGCCCTTGGATTTGGTTTTGCAGGGCACGGGATAGGGCCATCAGCATCCCAAAG